AGATAGCTAGTGGGAAGCAGCCACATAGCACAGGGAGATCAGCTCAGTGCTTTGTGACCACCTACAGGGGTGGGATAGGCAGGGTGGGATAGGGAGAGTGGGAGGGAGACGCAAGAGGGAGGAGATATGGGGATATATGTGTATTATAGCTGATTCACTTTGTTATAAAGCAGAAACTAACGCACCATTGTAAAGCAGTTGTACTCCAATAAAGATGTTAAAATTTTTTTTTAATAAAATAACTTTAGAGAAGAAATTCTATAGTCAGGCTATAATCATGTCAAAAGATATGCATTGGACGCCTTAGAGATGATGTAACAAAGATTTTTAGGTATCAAGTAGTTGTGCAGTGTGCCTAGAACCCCTCATAAATACATAGCCATGCTGTTTTAGTCAACTACCCATAGTAAGTGAAACTTACTGCTTATTTTAGAGAGGTCTTAGCTCTAACAGACTGTCAAAGGTGGAGGAAGACTTAAGTAATTAATTTACATTCATTATTCTTCCATTTCAATAATTAGGATTTAAAGTAATCTTTTTAAAACTACTAGGAATGTAAGTTATTCTCTCTACCTCTCGAAATCTCTCTTTGTGTACCATTATAGGAATGAACTACTAGCTACAAGCAATTTCTAAATTATATTCACAGCATCTAAGATAGGAAGAGGATTTTCATAAATGGCCTCAGTTTGAGTAAGCCTACATATACCTTGTTCATTATAAACCCACATAGAGGGCATAAAATGGCAACTGTCGGGCTTCCCTGGTGCCGCAGTGGTTGAGAGGCCCCGGTCCAGGAGGAATCCACATGCCGCGGAGCGGCTGGGCCCGTGAGCCATGGCCGCTGAGCCTGCGCGTCTGGAGCCTGTGCTCCGCAACAGGAGAGGCCACAACAGTGAGAGGCCCACATCGTGGGCCATGGCCGCTGGGCCTGCTCGTCCGGGGCCTGTGCTCCGCAATGGGAGAGGCCACAACAGTGGGAGGGCCCCAAACCCCAAAAAAAAAAAAAAAAAAAAAAAAAAAAAAAAGGCAACTGTCTTTTAACCGACCATTCATTGAAGTTTCTAATTTCGTTAATTTTTAATTTTTGGTGTTTCTCACCTAAGAAACTGTAACTTCAGTTCTGGAGAGTAGCTATAATCCATCTTCCCCTATAAAATTTTAAAGTTCAAAAGTAATTTTAAAAGGACAAGAAAATATGACTAAAAAATTTTTTTAAAGAACTTTAAGCATTCAACTATGTAATTCTATCTACCCTGCCCCATTAAACAAAATACAGATACAGAAACATGCTTTTATTCCTTTCACTCACTCATTCAATACCTGTTTGTTTGAAAGCCTACTATGTTCAGGCATGCACTGTGCTAGGCCTTATATGGAAAAGATAGTCCTCCCTGGTGTCCAGAATCTTACAGTTCAGGAAGTCAAGCAAACAAGTGAATGGACAATTTCCACTTCAAAGAGGGAAAATTTATATACTGACAATACTAATTTTAGAAAACAGGTAATCTTTTCATGCCAATATATATATTTTAAGATATACGCACCATGGGGCACATGGGATCTTAGTTCCCTGACCAGGGATTGAACCTGTGCACCCTGCAGTGGGAGCATGGAGTCTTAACCACTGGACCACCAGGGAAGTCCCCATGCCAAAATATATTGAAGCATTTAACACAGAGCTTTCACTAATTAAAAGCAAAAAAACAAAAACAAAATGAAGTTACCAATAAGAAAATCACCAAAAGATTAAAAAAAACAGATATAAAACCACAATTCATAAAAGAGTCATTAAGGACATGGATATTCAATTTCACTTGCAATCAGAGACACAAATTCACATACATACCCACAAAAATACTGAAGTAAACTATCTGCATTTATATAAACATAGAGGATAAATGAAAACATTTTGTGAGGTGAATTTGGCAATATTAATAAAAATTTTAAGTGTGCATACACCATGACCTAGCAACTCCTTTTCTACAAATTAAAAAAAAGCAACAATAAATTTATACATATATTCAACATATGACATTCATCAACACAAAAACGTATTTACAAGGAGGCTCACTACAAGCACTACTTGTAACAGCCAAAAAAATAAATGCCCATCACCAGTGGGAACAGAGAAAATGAACTATATATATATAATCTGTTCATATAACAGAAAATAATGCTGCTATTTCAAATAAACAGACAAACAGAAGACACAGCTGTAAATGTACTGATATAAAGAAGATTTCAAAGCTCTTCTAAAAGTAAAATAAAACTAGCATATAACATGTTCCTATTTTCTTTATATATTCCTAGGGCAACCGGGGATCTTTTTATAACTATGAACATACTTATGTCACTTTTATAATTTAAAAGATGATCTATTACAAATAGCAGGAGAGGTATACCGGCAAGGACATGCTCTCAAACTAGCTAAAAAAGAACAAAATGCTCCTTCTACCCACCACTCTTAGCAAAAAAATTTTTAAAAGCAACAGCTTATCTATGTCTATTCAAACACAAAAGTAAAACTGAAAAATATTACAGACATGTTTTCATGTACCATGTACCAATATAGTATGATACAGACAAAAATGGCTGAAATGAAAAACATTAATGTATCACTGATTAACACTTGAACTCTGAACTTCCCTGGTGGTCCAGTGGTTAAGACTCCACACTTCCACCGCAGGGGGCACAGGTTCAATCCCTAGTCAGGGAAGTTCCACATGCCACATGGTGTAGCCAAAAAATAAAAATAAAAAAAGACTTGGATTCTGCCTGATTAAGAAAAATAATTCGTAAACCGCCTTTCTGAAAAATCAGAGAAAAAAACAAATTCAAAGTATTTATGGTTCAAAGATGAAAAATATTTTTAAAGTAATTATATTTATGTATGCTTAGGCATTTAATGACTGTTCCAAGTCATTTTCCGAGGTAGGTCGACTACCTATTTAGCAAATTAAGACGTTACAAATATTTAGATTAATTTAATACCTACACATATGTATTTCATCCAATTTAATTTGAAAGAATTGAAAATGGTATTACTAAATTCAGAATCACAAGTAGCTTCACATTCACAAAGCAGTGGTATAACTTAACCTGTTTGACCATAACTCGTAATTTTAAATGAGAGCCATAACTTATTGAAGTAAAAGATGAGTTACCATAATGTCTAAGTACTATCTACCTCCCTCTGCACTATTATAAACATCCCCAAGAAGTATTCTTAACCACATTCAATTCAACAGTAAATCTTACGTATACTTCTAATACACTGCATGTCTTCATCTTGGCATGTGCTTTAAAAAAAAAATCAGTATTGATAAGTAAACATATACATACAGTTAAAATAACTGTCAACAGTACAATAGGGTACACAGTGAAAATAAAGTCTCCCTCCAATCCCAAACCCCCAAGAGCAGCTCAATGATAAAGCTTTAATTTCTCCCAAAAGAAAAGTATTTTGGCAACATACTTAAAACCAAAGCTTAAGAATTTGATATTTTAAGCCAAACTGTTAAGCAGGAGAACATAACATATAATAAAGGCTTAGGTGAATTACACTATCTTGTTGCAAATCCCATGTGATGAAGTAACTGAAGAAAAAAAATGAGACCAGTTATGCTACCTAAAAATACTCACAAATGAAATGTGATCAAATAAAAACTGCCGCTAAATATGAATTCATGGTTAACATACCCACAATGCATTAAATTAGGTATTGTCACTCCACACTCCAAATTGTTAATGCCGATTTAAATACGGAACAATTCGTGCTTCCCTGGTGGCGCAGTGGCTAAGAATCCACCTGCCGGTGCGGGGGACACAGTTTGGATCCCTGGTTGGGGAGGATCCCGCATGCCGCGGAGCAGCTGAGCCCGTGCGCCACAACTGAGCCTGCAAGCCACAGCTGCTGGGCCTGCGTGCCTGGAGCCTGTGCTCCGCGGCGGGAGAGGCCACCACGGTGCGCCCCCGCCACACTCCACGGCAGGCTGGTGACCCCTGCTCGCTGCAGCTGGTGG